CTACGCTTTTCCTATGCATACATACATTTTATGGTTCTCTTATGGATACTGGTAATTTGGCAGATCCAAATTACCAGTATCACTACTCTTGCACTTTGGAGCCATTATTAAGTAAAATAAGGGTTACTTGAACACAAACACTGTGATACCATGACAGTGAATCTGATAACCAAGACAGCTACTAGGTGACCAGCAGGTGGGCAGTATATACAGTGTGATTATGGATACACTGGACAAAGGGATGATTCACATCCTGGGTAGGACACAGCCAGATGGAACAAGATTTCATCGTGCTACTCAGAAAGGCGTGCAATTTAAAACTTAAGAATTCTTTACTTCCAGAATTTTCCATGTTTAATATTTTTGGACCACGGTTGACTGCAGGTAACTGAAACCACAGAAGCAAAACCATGGATAACGGGGGACTACTATAAACCCTTCAACAGAGGAGCAGGCTCCCACAGGATGGAGTGAGTTTTCCTCAATAAGTAAAGCTTATCAACACATCAAGCAAAAACAGCTTTTCATTTAAGAGCTCCTATTTTATTCTGCTAAATTTAAACAACATATTGAGAATAGGTATAAATTCCTATTTGCATAAATTTTCAACCTTGTCAATTAAGCATTTCTATTAACAAGAAAATTCAACCCTTTACCAACAAAGAGCTAGTAAATAGTATACAGAAAGGCCAGCTCCTGGAAACCCTGCTGCTAAATAATGAAATGTGTTAGCAGGCACAGGGAAAATCTCTCAGTAATTTTACATTCTGGCTGAAAAAATAGAAAGTACTTTCTAGGTGAGCACTTTTCACACACCCTTGCTTCTTCACAAATTCACCAATTCCTCTAGTGCCCCTTGATCTTAGAACAAGATAGATGATCCAGGTTGGTTTTTACCTGTTAGTTAATTAGTTTTATATTCTAAAAGTGTAACCATGGCATACTATTGTTTGGTATCTAAACTCTTATCTCTCAACAACAAAATCTAATATTCTTCTAGATAAGAAGTTGGATTCTCTTTACACTATTACAATCATGTGGATTTCAGGCCACTGGACCTATTTCAGAATGTGACTCACACACTGGAGTTGAGAATTTACAACGAATTTCTGACAGGATTACACTACTTCCTTCAAATTTGATGAGAGGAGGTGAAGAAAGCTACACTCTGACAGGAAGGTTAAGACCAACAGTGGACTTCTGCTAAAAATACTCTTATCTTCTTTCACGTAAAGGTAACTTATAGAATAAGCAGTAGAAATAAAAAATACATGTTTTGAATTCAAATACTAATACAGCTGTCATTCCTTATATGAAAGGAAAGAAGCTAAAAAGCAAGTCAGTAAGTGAAGAAGTTACATTCAGCCTTGACCACAATGAACGCTCAACACATTTCTTACTTAAAATGGTTTAAAATAAGACTGTGCTTCCTGTCAGATGCTGCCATTCATTATGGTTCAGATATTCTTGCTCATTGTTTTAGAGCATGTAATGTCCTTGCATAGAGCAGTTTCTCAACCTTAGTATTACTGACCTTTTGGGATGGATAACTCTTTGTTACGGGGACTGTTCTGTGCATCAGAGGATATTCAGCAGAATCCTTGGCCTTTACTAACTAGATGCCAGTAGCACCCTTCCCACTCAGTTGTGACAACCAAAACTGTCTCCAGATGTTGCCAAACATCCCCTGGGTGGGGGGAGGGGTGGAGGGCAAATCACCCCAGGTTGAGAACTACTGGCATAGAATATAAACTAGCCAAATAGTGAAAAAAGACTGAAACTTAAACTTCCTTAGTCTTTTCAAAGATATTTCAAATAACTGCATATCTCAAATCCTCAAATAATTAAACAGAATTCAATTTCTGTGAACAGCAATTGTTAAATCCCAATTTCAGTGTTATGTATAACTTAAAATGTTTTAACTTCCAATCTCTTAACTTCAAACACACTTTTAATCTTTTAATTTAAAAAGTTTAAATCTGAGATTTTGATTTTTAAATTTAAAACTAGTTAATGGAAATGAGTCCTCATAACTGCACCCAGGTTACACTTTATATCTATTGAGGAAAGCTGTTTCTGCTAGTTTCACAGTGCAAATATCAGGTTTGCTCTTGGAGAGAAAAAGGGAAGAAAAGAAGTCCCTGGTACGGAGTCTGCTGCAGAGCTCAGGGCCCAGCCCCTTGTTCCTGACCTGGCCTTCCGCCACAATGTTAAGTATCTGACAGAGAGTCACTGCTCAGACGATGACTTCTTAGAGCATGTCCTTCTTCCTAGATACACTGGGTCTCTCCTTTATTTAAAATATCCATCAACATTAATTTTAAAAAAGAGCTGCTTTTACATATTAACTACTAGTTTTGTCTTATTGTTTATGGTTTTGTTGTTTAAAAAACAAAAATGGTTTATTATTATTTCAGAGACTGGCCTGAAATGGAAACCCACCTACTAATTCATTTGATCAAAATTCTCAAAAGGATGTGAGGCCCTAAATCACATGTAGTCAGAACTGTTCGTTCTCGTTCTCTCTCTCTCCATACACACACACACAGCTACAGATACATTTACACATTATGCAATATGGATGCTGACTTTGCCAATGATCTACTCTTCAGTCTTGCAGATACCACTCTATCTTATGCACAACCTTATAGGGAATGAGAATATAGAGACAAAAATTATTCATGTAAACTTTCCATCTTCTTTTTTAATGTCTCCCAGGAGAACAGAGCCAAATTATTTCAAATTATTGGTTTATTCCTCCAATTTCCATGGAGACATTTGTTCCTCCTGTTACCTCTTGCTCGTAAGTTTACTCAGATTTAAAGATAGTTGTTAAAGTTTTTGATTTGTCTCACAGTCTTGAATTCTTGAATAATCACAGTTAACTTACTATACTCTAATTTAGACACAGGAGAGCCAATTAAAGAGAAGTCTGTAAAACTGCCTGTCCTAGTTTAGGTTAATCTTATGTACCTATAGAAAAAAAATCCATGTGCACACAACCACACAATATTTCCAGAAGCACACAACTTAAAATGCTACATCTCATGTAACGCTGTCTTCCAGGCACAAGGAACCATTGTAACTATACCCCAAGAAGAGCAGCCCCTAAAAGTTACTAACAGCTTATCAGTTATAATGATAAAAGATACATACCATCAAAACTACCTTGCTCAGAAGCAACGTGCAATAGCTGATTATATGTTTCAACTGAAGGTTGATAAACAAAGACTCCAGAATTGAAGCAGTCAGGCCACCCTGGATCTGGTGCCGCTGACAATTCTTCTCTCTCAAAAAGGTCATCAATATTTGCTAGGACCTGATTCAAAGAAGGAGGAGCGAAAGCATTACAGAAATGTTCTGCTGCAGCCTACCCTTCTTAAGTTCTCCCTAAGTTATCTAACACAAAAGATGCGATCTGTCACTGGTCTTAACTATTCAGATGACAGCTGTTGAGGTGGCCTAGGCCTACTCTCTTTCATCACCTGACACTTTTTATGACAGTGGTTTTATCTGAATTTTACTGTCAAGTCTAGACAGTGTTCCTCAAATGCCTAACTGATCTCAGTTACTATATACATCTTTTTAGCTATCAAAGCCCCACTCACCAGAGTATCTGCATCCATGAACACACATTTTGAATACTGTGTAAGTGACCAGCAGTGGAGTTTAGTTAACGTGATACCCAACTCAGGCCTCTTCATTAAGGTTAGATGAGCAGAATCACCACTGTCCAAGACGTCTACCATGATGACTTCATCAAAGACTGCCTCTAAAACTTTTCTGTCAAAATAAAATTAAAAAAAAAACAAACAAACAATCGTGCTTAGCATTTTGGAACAAGAGACAAATAAAATAAGACTGCAATCTTATTAGCCCATCTCTCAATTACTAGAGCAATCTGTTACTTTGATATAGTACAATCTCTTAAATATGTCCTAATTTGCTTCAGGACAAATTAAGTTAATTTGTATGTGCAGTTAACTTTACTAAAATAATAAGAATTACTTATAGTGAAGATGAAGCACTTGTCTTAAAACATTATTGTAGAAGAAGTTTTGTATTTTTTATTGTACTACTAATACCAAGAAAATTGTGGAAATGTGACTGACATTTGGTAAGAGTACATCTTTGCAACAGCTTATGCATTTAACAATGGTATCTTATTAGAACTGATTCTTGCTGACAACCATATTTTCACAAATGATTCTGGGTAAAGTACATAGACTGTCTGCAAAGAAACCTATTAACTAATCATTTTTGCTAAAACAGTTGATAAAGAACTGCCTGTGTGTCCCAAAAGGATTTAAAGGACTCAGTTGTTAGGCTGCCATTTTTTTAGAATAGAATATAACTAGCATTTATTATGTCCTTAGCACTCCTGGCATAAAGACTCACTGGTTTGTGACGTACAGCACTTCTCCATGCCCAAAATTAACTAAAGATTTATTTTAGAAAGCAATCTTGAGGTGGGTTAAGGGGAGTATACTTAGGCAAGACTCTAAACTTAGCATAAGTAAAAACATATGATAAAGACAGATCATCATTGAAAGGTTATAAAATCAAACACACAGAACAAAACTGGTATTGTATTATCTGTCTCCAGAGCTGTACAAAAATATGTTCTGGTTTCACACAGTAAATGTGATCTTTTAGAAAATAAATGGTCGGTGGCACCACTTACTACAGTAAAGAGGTGAGGGGAGGAAAGGAAACTAAGATTACATCTGTCTTCTTACACACATCCTCACTAAATAGACTACAAATTAGGACATACATATTAGGAGACAGTCTTTTTTGGCATTTTCCTAAATTATCCTTTAAGAACAAGGTTGTTAGTGTGTATATATATTTATCTCCTCTTCTGAGGTCCTTGGAATGTGCTTACATATTTTGAAATAGTCACAAAAAAGGCATTTTCAATTTCTAAGAGGGTAGGAGAATATAAAAATAAACACAATACAGAGCTGCTAGTGTGCCCAGATATTTTTAGAGTTCATATTAGGAACTAGGTAGTTCATTTAGATACTTCAAAATTTAATTCCAACAAATCAATGTGAACTAACCCAGTCAACAAGCAGCTTGTGCCCCTCAGGGTGTTCTCTTAGCACAACTGAAATTCTGAAAGTCCTTTGGCAAATAAACTAATTTATTAAATTGTAAATAAAGATCTTTAGGTTACAAATGTCAACTGGCAGTGGAGAAAACTGCTACTGTCTTTCAAAGTCACTTGAGGTTTCCTTGGTTTGAAACAGGAAACAAAGTAGCCCCTGCTGCATTTTGGGAAAGTAGGGCATATGAAGTGTGACTACATAAAGGGAATGCCAGGACAGAATCCCTCACTCAGATCATCCTGAGAGGACTTGCTTAAGGGAGAGTTCTATTCCTTATTAGGATCAGTAAGAGCATGGGATAGAATACCACTTTACAGAAGGGGGCTTGGCTGGAATATCTTCCAAAAGCTAGGAAGAGGTTTCAGACCCAGGAATCCTTCACTCAGCAACTCTCATCTTTCTCCTGAAAATGGTATGGCCTCAATGTCCACTGATGCCAGAAATGGGAGAAGGATGTCAGAGTACCACCACAGCTGGGTAGTGAGGTCCTCACCTCATGGAGTCTGAGACCTGGGGGGTGATGAGCACAGCCAGCTTCCTGGTGGTTCTGTGCTGTTTCAGAGATGAGCCCAGGACCAGGGCTCCTTTGGCGTAGGCATCGTTTGTGGTCAGTGTCACAAAGGCCTGATCTTAATACAAAACAAAACAAAACAAAACACAAAAGATTCATTACAATATCCTAGCTAGAAAAAGCTACCCAGGATCCTCTGAAACTAGTAATCTGGCAAAAATCAGCTCCTCTGTCAACTTGCCCTAATTTAAGAGTACAGACAAGCTAAATTCTCAGACTAGCTTGAAACCCAGAGGGTGAACCTCAGCCAATTAACAGGTGGTAATGAAGAGATCAAGAAATGCAATTTTTGTTTCTCCTACAAGGTACCATAGTTTTTTTTCAGCCAGGCACAAATCCAACAAATGACCCCAATGGAGAGTATCTGAAAGTAGAGGCCATATTCTTCATTCTGGTGCCAAACCTCAGGCTTTCTATACTGTTTCCCAACCTGGAATGAAGACCACCTCACCCACCCTCAAGAGTCATTTTGAACCTCTGCTCAAATATCACCTCAGAGAGGCCTTCCCTCCTAAGGCTTTTATCTAAATGGTGGCCAATCACTGTTAAATGGATTTTGAAGTCGCCTCACAAGGTCTAAGATATCTGCCTCCTTTTCCCTGGAGAAGAAAGCAGTACCTCCCTCACCTGTACCCTGAGGTCCCTCAACATACATTCATTTTTCATCTCTCTCTCTCTCACACACACTCAATCTCACAAATCATCACTTAATTGCCGAGACCAAAGGCAAAAACACGGATTATTCTTCCTACTAAACAAGCCCCACCCTCCCAAGACCACCAGACCAGCCTGTGGGATTTCTCCAGTTCTTCCCTGGAGTGATTCTGGGGCACACTCCGTCTCTGAGGGGATTTTAACATTAGTAAGTTGGGCGGGCATCCAAATGTACAGGATACTTAGGATCAAGCTCTAGCAGGGGTCGCTTGGGGGCACTGTTGCCCAAGCAGGGAGTTGGGACATTTTGTCACAAAGTCACTCTCTTTCTAGCTTAGGTTTCCTCATTCTCCCTTTGCCCATTTTCCAATGTGGAGGCCAGAGGAGGTGGAAATTCCGTTGAGAAGTCTTCTTTAAGTTGTCAAGTGGCCCTGCCCATCCCCCAGCCTCTGACCTGAAGGCCATCTTCGCAGATAGTATTGGACTCTCTTCCAGGACAGGCCCACTATTAAGGTGTAGAAAGAGTGGTGTTCCCCACCCCTGGAGGGACACCAGCTTCACACCCAGTCACACTCTAGGAAAGCTCAGAACAGGGACACCTGTTACTTGACATGCCCATCAACCACTGTGCTTGTTCCTTCAACTCGTCATAAGATGGCAATATTTCGGTCGGTCTGCCCCAAGGGTACTTAACCTGGAGAATAATGAGTGATGTTTTAACTCAAAAGTGGTCCAGATTCTGGGGGATTGTGAAGAAATGTTCAATAAGGTAAGTAGGATTCAAGGATTTCAGGAAGCAAGGATATGGATGATTTCCAAGATGAAGCAGGTGGCAGGACAAATGTTTGGGAACACGGGCTAGAACATTAGACCTAGCAAACATTACAAATGAATAGAGAAACCAATGACAGTTGAGTAGGGTTCAACTTTCCCAGAGATGGGTGACATCTGCAATCTTTTTGCAGCTCATTTGTTGTAGCATCCCCGGCTTTCAGCCTCAACAACACGGGAACGACCAGGTACCTCAGAGCCTCGGGTCGGTCCTGGGGCAGATTCGCCTTGCAGCCCGGACACCTTGCAACAAGTGGGCCGGCGCCCTCCCTCCGCGCGGGGCCCGCTCTCCGGAGGCGCTCGCCGGCCTCCGGCTTCCCGAAACCCGGCCCCAGCGGCCTAAAAATAGGCTCGGCGTGACGGCC